CTGGGAGCTGAGGAGGTGCCACTGGGAGCTCATTTGTTACTGGGACCTGAGGGCACTGCCAGGAAAAGATGGCTCTGCCAGCACAAGGACAACTCCAAACCTGCAGAAAATAACCTGCTGCTCTTCCCACTTTGTGTCGGAGCTTCTGGAAATCTCAAGGGCAAAAATAGGTCAAGTTCTCCGTGATGACAATCTGCTACTAGAATAGAGATTCGTTTCTGTTTATTTCGTTTTTCCAGGCAGGATTTAGGAAGAATAAAGCCTACAATGTTTCCTTTTAGGAATGTGCACTTTTCCCATTTGTACAGGAGAAAAGCAAAAATTTATACTTTAAAGAGCTGTTATTTTGTAGAGAAATTGTGTGGAATAAGATAATGTGTGAGATATAAAGATATAAAAAAGAGGTATAAAGTACATGAGCAACAAAGTTATTTTAGAGATAACAGTGAAAAGGGATCAGCTTGGCTGTTACACCCTGGATTGTGCTTCAGCAGAATGAAAAGTTAGCAAATTCCTTTATATTCAGCACAGGCCTGTGTTATATATAGTTTTCTATTTAAAACAGTTTCTCCTCATCTTGCCATCTTACCTTTAGGATTCAGTCAAGGATTCAATAAGCAAATTCATGGCCCACGTCCACATCAGTGTCAATGAGATGTCCCGGCTGTACCTCAGCAACGAGCACCGCTACAACTACACCACCCCCAAGTCCTTCCTGGAGCACATCAAACTCTACCAGAGCCTGCTGCTGGAAAAGGACAAGGATTTAAAGGCCAAAATGGAGCGGCTGGAGAACGGCCTGGAGAAGCTCAAGAGCACTTCTGCACAGGTAAGGACTCCTTGAGGTTGGTTTTCCTCGGTTTTTTTGTCTGGTTTGAGAGCGAACTTTACAGGGAAGAAATTTGTGCTGGATCTTGGCTCTAGTCTGCCTTGAGCTGGGTTTCTGCAGGAGCAGAAGTGATGCTCTGCACAGGAAAGGAGAATGGAGAGGTGTGTGTCCAGTCTCTGTTGTTTGGGAGGTAAGTGAAATATTTCAAAAAGTAAAATGAGATTGGGATCCAGCTGATCTGCCATCCTCTTTTAATGGTTTAGTTTCAGCTGCTGTGACAAAACAGCTTAGAAAATACAGAGCAGTCAGTGAATTTTGGAGTTGCATCCAGGAAATCTACAATAACTTCAGCAAGAGTCTTTCAAACTAAATAGTGCATGCTGTTAAAATGGAACTGCTGTTCATTTTTCCTTCCATTATGCTATCCATCTTTTAGGAAAGCTAATACATGTCTGAAATGCACATCAGTTATCCCAAAATCCCCCTGCTGAAGACTCCCCCTGGCACACTCCTCTGGCAGTGACTAGAAGTTGTTCTGGGTGTTTCCCAAACCTCTGTGCAGTGACACCTGCATCTGTTGCTACACTCCCATTTTGTTCTCCATTTCATATTCTATTAACTTTTACAAATGTTTGCTTACAAAGCTTCTACAGTGGTAAATGAGGCTCTCCTGAAGCTGCTCAGGGGAATGCAGGTGGTTGATGAGAAGGAAGGACTGGCAGGTCCATCCCCTTCCACACATCTGCTCTGGGGAGTGCTGGGGGCATCAATCACGTCTGTCACGCCCCAGGGGACACACACCTGCCTGGAGGTGATGGATGGGCTGGCCTGGGGCTTCTCAGAGCTGATATCTCCATCTCCATCTCCCTTCAAAAAGGCACTGCCACGTCCCTGTGCAGGTTTCAGCATCTCCTTTGTGGGGAAGGGGTAGCAGAGAGCACTGGTGGCATCCACCAGAGCCACGAGGCTGTGCCCTCATTGCCCAGCACACCTCAGCTCACCTCATCACTGAAACTACAGGAAAAACAAAAACCCTCCAACAGCGTTTTTAGTGTTAGAGAATCAAGGCATTATTATATTCTGGCCGGGATATGCAACAGAAATCATTTCATCCACACATAGCCTGGGTGTGCAGAGAAAATCATTTCATGACACTTGAATTTTACCAGGTTTTTCACAAATTATACAGCCAAAACCCATGGAAATTCATTGGTTCAATGTTCATTGGTTCCAAGTTGCAGAATTCTTGGTATTTGGTTTCCTGTTGGTTACAGATCTCTTCCCCTCCAATGCTAATTAGGTTCTCCTTATTTCTCTTTTCCCAGACCATGCCAGGGGTGATGTTTGGAGCTGCTGGTCATTGATGATTATAATCTTTTGTGCACCTTCTGTGCTATTCCCAGTCTGTTGAGATGTTAAGGTCCATCAGGCCTTGCCTGGTGGAACAGTGCCCTGGAAGGAAACTTAAATTCCCTTCCCCGGGGACAAAGGTGGACAAATCTGACTGAAGTTATAAAATTCAACATTTTAAATTGGGTATATTTTCCAACAACCTCACCTCACCCATGCAGGCAATAGTTCTGATGGACCTGTGGGATGCTGCTGTTTTTTCAGGATTCCCCAGTGGTGGATAAGATGGATTAGGTTTAATTTTTTTGGGAGCAGCTAATATGAAATGAATCTTTTGAAAACAAGTCCCTGTGTCTGTTGTGACACATGGGAACCCTTCTGTATCCTTCATGCTTCTCTTCAGTGGGTGCTGTGTGGGCAGGGTTCTCTGATGAGCCACAAAGCAGTGGGGGAGGACTTGGAGGCAATGGGAAGGATGGGAAAAATCAATCACAAGAAGGATGAAAGAGAACAGTGTTGGTGTCTGGTTGCAGTGAGGGGCTGGGCTGAGAGGTGCCTCCATGTGCAGGTAATTAAGATGCAGAACAGTGAGGACAAATATGTCAAATTCAAGTCTAAAATTAGCACTGGGGACCTAAAATTAAACACCTAAATTACCAGATGTGCGCAATAGTCAGAACTGCTGTTGATTTGAAACCAGATTTATCAGTATTGGAAATCATACCAGCATCTTCAATCTTCAGCATGGGTTTAGAAGGCTGAACTTTACATTCACCCATGGTGAATTCATACTTGGCCTTGGGGCTGAGGAGGTGAAGACTCCTCTCTCTCACTCAGATGTGTCATCTGCAGGTTGTGCCTGGGAGTGATGGGCTGGGGGGTGTTTTCAAAGTAAAGGTGGAGGATTTTGATGCCTGGGTATCACCTGGCTGTGCTCTGGTGTTCATCTCTGCCATTCTCCAGGGTCCATGGCAAGTTAGGGGTGAGGTTGGTGTGTTTCTGTAGGCTCACAGTGGCCTCAGCATGAAGAGCTGTCATATCAGGAGCTGCAGATATTTTTTACTTTGCTGTTCCCATTTCAAAATAACCTCTCTGCCTCCTTTTGCTGTGGTTCCCTCTACTCCTTTTTTTTTTTCTTTCCTTTGGAGATTTGGACACCTTGATGCTGTTGACCAACTTTCCTCCTCCAGCAATGTTTTACAACCATTTCTCCCTGTGGACAGCAGCATCCTCAGCACTCAAGGAAGCTGAAGCCTCCTTCCTATTAGGACATAATGGATTGGGAAGATGTGTGGGATGAGTCATTTGTTTTTCAGAGTGCTGTGTGCCACCCGGAGGTCAGCACCCATTGCTGAGTAATTCTGAGGATGGCTGTGGTTAATATTGCATCACTGGATTCCAGATTCGAGCCTGGCTGGCACTATCAATTAATCGCTGACCTTTTGATGTATTTTGTGTTCTTGAAACAAGGCAGGGACAATCAGATAAAATGAGTCTTCTGGGAGCCTGCCCTCCAGGTTTTCTTCTCTTTAATATTTTTTCTCATGCTGTTCTGGTGGTAGGCAAGGGCTTCTCCCTTCCTTTCCCTGATGAAGTCACAGCACATTACCCTTGAATTTCTCATTTGCTTTGCTCTTTCCCTTTCCACCTCACATTACTAATTGCTTATCAGATTGTTCTGCACTCTGGAAGCTGCTCACAGGTTTCTCAGAGAATCACAGAATTTTTTGGGTTGGAAGGGAGTTTAAAGATCATCCTTTTCCACCCCCTGCCATGGGGGACACCTTTCCACTGTCCCAGGCTGCTCCAACCCCAGTGTCCAACCTGGCCTTGGGCACTGCCAGGGATCCAGGGACAGCCACAGCTGCTCTGGGCACCCTGTGCCAGGGCCTGCCCACCCTCAAAGGAAAGGATTTATTCCTGATAGCCAACCTAACCCTGCCCTCCTTCAGTCTGAACCCATTCCCCCTTGTCCTGTCACTGCAAGCCCTTGCAGACGCTCCTTCTCCAGCATTCTTGCTTTTTAAAAATCCCGACAAAGTCATTTCCCCTTCCATTGCTGTGTGCGCTTGGCAGGGCATTGTCTGCTCCCCAGGGCTGAGCTTACACCTGCTCTTTGTGCTGCTGTTGAGTGCCTGTGGATTTTAATCCCCTGCTTGTTTTGTCCTGGCCGTGTAAACCCCTGGAGCTCCCATCTGTGTGTGTATCCAGCACACAAAGGCTGATTTCTGGGCAGAAGGTCACAGCCATATCAGCCATCAGCAGAGCCCACTTCAATTTCCTGCAGCCCCCAGAGACTTGGAGCAGAACAAGGAGCTGCTGCTGGGTTTGTCACATGCAGGGATTATGTGCTCATGTGAGCTTGGATTTACAGCTGTGCCTTTGTCCTGGTGAGAGCAGTCCCACAGAGCCAGGCTGCAGGGGATGCTGATGGATGGAGGGCGTGTGGAGAGCCCTGAAAAACTGCTCTCCATGTGAAACCCATGCCAAATGTCAACAGCTTCAGTTTGTGGATTGCAGGTTGTGCTTTCCATTCTGCTATCAAAACGGGGATTGCCAAAACCTGTGTCTGCCTTGCCTTCCTGGAAGTATTTTTGTGTGGATAAAGATGCACCCCAGGAGCTCTAAGTGAGCTGAGCTGAGATCAGGCACTGAAAGCCTCTGTGGTCTGCTCAGAGTCTGAGTAAATTCACTGAGATGGAGATTTTTAGCTGGAGGTTTTCTGTCTACAAGCGAGAGTCTTTGTGAGCTTCCTCCTGTGCAAGTGCTGGTGAGGGCTCCTGTGTGTGAGCAGGGTGTGAGGAGTTGCCACCATGGCTGTGCTGGTGGCCTCCTGGCTGCCAGCTCACAGGGATGTCCCTTCTCAGGCTCCTCTGACATCACATTTAAATTCCCTTGACCCTCGGGGCTCTGCCAAGGGCTGGACCTGTCTGCAGATCCCAACTGCAATCTTTCTGAGGTGAAAAATGATATTAGGAAGAAATTCTTCCCTGTGAGGGTGGGCAGGGCTGGCACAGGGTGCCCAGAGCAGCTGTGGCTGCCCCTGGATCCCTGGCAGTGCCCAAGGCCAGGTTGGACATTGGGGCTTGGAGCAGCCTGGGACAGTGGGAGGTGTCCCTGCCATGGCAGAGGGACTGGATAGGCTTTAAGTTCCCTTCCAACCCAACCCATTCCATGTTTCTGTGATTCCTGCCACAGGCTGCAGGACTGATGGTCTCAGAGCAGGTGCTGCCCCTGCCCTGTGCAGGGGCCCGGGCTGGAGGGGTGGGGAGGGCAGGATGTGCTGGGGTGAGCAGGAGGCTCAGGGAGTCCCTGGGGCACAGCTCCTCCTCCAGACCAACTTGTGCCCAGGTTTGGTGCTGCCCAGACTGAGAAGCTGAAGTGTGGCTGAACTGTAGCCTTGTCATGTCTCCAGCAAGGCACAGCACCCACACATCTCTGCTCAGGGGAGTGTGACATCAGAGCTCGTATTGAAAGCTGATGGGTTTGGGTTTATAATGATTTCCTGCATGTGCTTGCTGTGTGATGGGGCTCCTGGGCTGTAAGAAAATGATGCCTGGAGAGTTGCCTGGAGCAGAGGCTGGGCAGTGCTGAAGGAATAAAGCAGGGATTTATTCCAAGCCCTTCCAAGGATTCACCTTGGGCACTGCAAGAGCCCGGCCGTGGCTCCAGCCAAGATGGAGCCAAGATGGATCCGAGTCACGAGTTCTCACACTTGGATCACTTTGG